GTTTGGATCCCAGCACCCATGTAGCTTCTGGGTAGCCTGCCTATAATCTTAGCACAGGATTAGTAAGCTCTGCCTTTGAGTGAGAGACCCTGCTTCAATGTATAAGGTGGAGAGTGATCAAGGAAGACTTCCTCATGCCATTCTTGGGCCTTCACACACATGCATATACACATGTGCCCACATACATGTAAACACACACAGAGCTGAGAAGACCAAGACTGGGCAGAGGTGGAGAGAAGGACTTAAGGGGAGCACTGACAGTATGTGAAGAATATTGGCTCATGTGATAGGAGCCCAGACGTCCTGTCCACACCAAGCATGGCTACACACAGGAGCCCGACCACTGCCTTTAAGGCTGTGGAGTCTCTACTTAGCCTGGTATCTCCTTGACAGTTTATGTACTTTCAGCTTCAGATCCTGTGGGAAAGCCTCAACTAACCAATCAGCGAAGCTAAGGGAAGGAGACGCTCCAGATGGCTCATCTGAGTCATGACTGAAAGTAGGATCAAAAGAGAAACCTGGAAGCATTTTTCTAAAAAGTGGAATTAACATAAGAGGGAAGTGGAGGAAAAGTGGAGGAAAAGCACCCCATGTGGAAGTAGCACTGGGCTGACCCCAGGACATAGCTCACGACCACTGTGCCTTGGAAGCTCTGGAGATCCACACAGCCAGATCAAGAAAGGCCGCCCCTTGGGCAGGAGGGAGTCTTATCTTTCCCCCTTCATTTCCAGAGGAGGAGGAATCCCTTTTCATCCTCATATGAGGAGAGGAGAGCGACTTTGTTGACCTGAGTTGTTGCAAATCACTGAGAAAATGGACGGTGTCATTTTGCTTTGACAGGGAGGGTGGGTGCCAAGCTTTCCCGTTGGCTTGTGTGCAGCTGAAACCACAGTTTTTCCACCCAGGAAGTGGGTAAGCAATTCAATAACAGGAAGGCTCCTTTAAAAAATAATCTCAGACCTAAAAGTGAAGGTGCTAGAGCCATCTATGTTATCTTTGGGCGTATCACACAGTTTCTTCTAGTAAAAAACAATTGTGGTCAGAGTCAGTGCTATTTAAATTTCCAGAGATATTAGTCATTCATTGTATAAAGGGTGTTCCCTTCTCTTGATTGTCTAGTTAATGTTTAAATGAATGCTTAATTTTCACAGTAAATGGACTAAAAGAACAAAATTCATGATTTTAAACTATGTATTGGGAATGCTCTTGTCTATTATTATTGAGAATTTGGCTCTATGCTTTAAGTTGCTTTATAGAAATTACTGGTTAAATTCTATAAAACTGTTAGGTTGTTAGGTTATTAGACTATGTGGTTACCAGGTATAGCTCTGTGGGAATTCTCCCAACAGTATCTCAGGATAAACTACAGACATCAGTGCTTCCCTCTAAATATGTCAACATCAAATACTTTTTTTTTTAAATCATTAAGCAAAGCTCAATATTTTGTACACATTTTTTTTCCTTTGAGTTAAAATTTACATAGGTTGAAATGCAGAAATCTGAGTTTTGGCAAGTCCGGGCACTTCTAGATCCCACACTTGGGTGACTTCTTATTACCTAAGAATAACTATGATGCCGATGGCATCTGCCCTTATCCAGGAAAGCTGGACAGATCTAGTCCCTCTGAGTGTGTTTCAAGGAACATCAGGGAGAGCGGGTGGAGGGGAAGAAGACAAAGCTCTTCTTTGTTCATAGCCCATTGGCACGGCCAGTTCGATGCCATGGTTACACAGCCCAGTGACCACTGACCCACAGGAAGACTCAGTCAGGGTTGGCTGTCACTGGTATCATCACGCTCCTCATCCGACTGGCAGTCCTTCATTAGTGGCTGGAACCCTGTAGAGAAGGGTGAATGGCAGCTTGCAGGAAGTGTTGGTACCTCCAAAACAGCAGCTGAGGCAGAGCAAATAATGAATAGTATGTTTGGGGGTGTGATGCCCCTGTGAGCTGGCAGCTGGCTTATCTGCGGCTCCAATGTCTGGTTTCATTGATGGCAAAGCCCGCCTCCAGCCAGAAAGGCAGGACATGCCATTTTTACTCCATTTCTCCTAGAGTGTGTGACAGTGTCTGAGTATTTGTTTGTGTTAGGTCCAAAGAAGGGCCCCCAAATGGCACGACTGGTGATAAGGCCCTTAACAGAAGGACTCTGAATGAGTAAACACAAGGGTTGTTACTGGAAAAACAGAAACCTAAACTTAATAGGGAAGCCACTGCTTCCCTTATCCAGCTCAAGGTCAACTGCCTTGGGCAAGGCCATCTAGTTCTGGGACAGCCTGCTGCGGATCAAAGCCTCCGTGTTAAAGCCCAGGTTGTTCTGCCGCCCACCTCTCCTCCCAAACTGCCTGTCCCCTTGAAACTGACAAGGCTTTCCCGACTGCCGGCTGTTCTCTGACCCCAGCAGTTTGAGTCCCAAAATGAGTTTTTCTTTCAGCTCATGGAATGGTCTAGTTCAGTGGCTTCACTGCACCCTTGTGTATAGTTTGTATCCCCCAGATCTCATATATGGACATGCTCCCCCTCCCTGCGCCCCCTACAGTAGTGTTAAGGCATAGGGCCTATGCTTTCACAAACGAGATTAATGCCCTTATACTAGAGGCCCCTGGAATCTGCCTTCCACGCCCAGCATGTGAGGGCAAGGCAGGCACCATCTCTGAGGCAGAGTGACTGCTCTCGCTGGACACTGATCTGACGGTTGTTCTTGGCATCCTCACCTCCCACAAAGTTGAGCAGTAGATTTCTGCTTCTAAATTAACTGGGGCTATATTTTGAATCTTGAATGTTCCCCAAAAGACTTGGTCCCCAGACTGGTGTTTTGGGGAGGAGATGTAGCCTTTAAGTGGCGGGGCCAAGTAAGAAGTCCTTTGGTTATTTGGGGGAGGGTGTCCTCAAATGGGTTAGCAAGACCCTGGTCCTTTGTTTTTTCTTTGCCTCTGGGCCATGAAGTACACGATTCTGCTTCACCAGCCCTCCTGCTATGAGGTAAGCCTACTTTCCCACAGGTCTAAAGCAACAGGGGCAAACCAATCATGAACTGGCACCTCCAATGCTCTAATGTCCAAAATCAACTTTTCGTCTTGTTGAGTGATTAGCTCAGGTATTTTGTTACAGGATGGAAACCCTGAGCATCACACTCCACCTGAGTGACCCTCTTATGGCTGCCCATGGACTGAGATGAAAAGGTACCGAGAAATGGCGTGCTCTGCTGTTAAGAAATACCAAAGAATGTGGAAGTGGTTTAGGAATTGGGCACTAGGACGAGGCTGGAAGTGTTTAGAAATGCGTGTTGAAACTCCCCTCAGGAGTTTCTTATCAGGGCTCAGAAGCGAAGCGTTTCAGGGAAGCCTCAGTCTTCTCAGAGATCACAAAGGACATCAGAGGCCGCTCTAGTGGATTACCAGGTGGAAACGGGGATCAGGGGGTTGGGAACTGGGGGAAAGGTGACCGTTGTAAAGTGACAAGAGACTTAGCCCGTCTGTGTCTTGGCGTTTCCCAAGGTTCTGGACAGTGGTGAGGCCACTTGTCAGGGGGTGAGGTTAGTCCTGTGGGTTTGGCATTCTATCCTGACTGTTTGTAGTGAAATGTGAAAAGAAGACCTGGAACGTCCTCAGCCTGGCCATACTGTGAAGAATGAGACAGCCAGGGGGCTGTTGATGGAGATTAGCTCGGCTAGATACCACACCTCAGGATGATGCAAACAGCAAAGACAGCATCTCAGATCTCAGGGGCCCTCCCAGGCCAGGACGCTAGGGCCTCAGGGGTGGGATGGTTTCTGGGTTCTGTTCTTGCATCATGATTCAGCACTTGTTGGCCACCCAGCTGTGGTTCCAGCAGAACCAGGCACAGCTCAGGCCACCAACGGTACAGCATGGATACCTGCAAAGTGCCATCCCCATGATTAGCAAAGTGTGCGTGGATACTTCCACCGCAGTTTCCAAAGATGCCGCAGATATCCCCGAGGCCAGGCAGAGAGCCACATCAGGGTAAAGGACAACAGAGTCCTTGCTAAGGCAAAGCCCAGTGAGCCCTGGGGAGAAGGGCCTTCCCAAGACTCCAGAGTTGTAGAGACACCAGTGAGCACCTGCAGGACTCCAACCTGTGAATGTATCCTACAAAGCCAGACAGGTGGCGGGGGTGTGTGTGTGTGTGTGTGTGTGTGTGTGTGTGTGTGTGTGTGTCTAGAACAGGAAGTGCCCTAACCACTGAGCCATTTCTCCAGCCTCATACT